GGGGGGCCATTTAGGGGGGCCCGGGCGGGCAGCAGGGGGAGCATTTGGAGCCCCGCCTTTTTGGATTTGTAAGAGGGGATTTCCAACCTCCGGTTTGGGGCCTAAACCGGGAATTTGGGACATCCCCTGAGGGGTCCCCAAAATTGGAAAGGGTTTTAGGTTTGGGCTGAAAGGGCCCCCCCCCCCCCTGCACAAATTTCATGCACCGGGCTCTAGTCCTTTTTAATAAAAGGCTAATTATGCAAATCACGGACCGCCGAATGAACAGCAGGACGCCTGGTTGTTGTGGTGTGCACTGACCACCAGGGGGAAGACACAATGCAGGAGCTGCCCCCTGGTGGTCAGTGCACTCCCACAGGGGGAGTAGCTGGGCTCACGCTGGCGAGTGCAGCGGCAGTGGCGGGAGCCTCTCCCACCTCTGCAGCAGCACTAAGGATGTACGACTGGTGGCTTAGGCGAGAAGGCACAGCCCAGGCTGAGGGACCCCCCCCCCCCCCCCGAGTGCACGAATTTTGTGCACTGGGCCTCTAGTGTTCAATAACGGTTGAAATCTTAAATGGATTGGGTGCTCAGGAAATGGGAGTCCGTTAACTTTGAAAAATTAGTGGGGCTGTTCATTGGAAAAGGGGGACTTGTATATGATGAGAAATTCAAGTGAGACTGAAGCATCTTGTTCTGGTTATAATTTAAACACCCCAGTTTTTCCAGAATCCAGCTTCGTGTGGGTCCTTTCAGAAATGTTTCGTGTGTACACTTGTTTATGTGTGTGTATGTCAGTGTGTAAGTATGTGCACATATGTTACATATGTTACAACTGAATGGACTTAAATGATGATCGCTAAGTCTTAAATATGTAGTTAATCCTAAAGCCACACTCTGAATATAAATGACAGAAATCCTTTATTATATGCATTATAAAATAATTGTCTTGCGTATATAATTGATTCTACTTTTAAGAGAAATATACGTGTGACATCAACCACATCCATAAAAGAACACTAGCATAAATGCTCTGAAATTCTAATATAAGAAGGCTATCCCTTAGACCCTAATCTCTACGGTAGCTGAGTTACACGTGAGAGAAACTTTAGGAATTAGTTCGATGGCAAAGGTCCCAGTAGACTTAATATTTTCTTTGTATTTTCTATTTCCAAATATCTTCCTCATAATTAAAAAAAATTTTCAAAGTGACATTATATATTAAAAATACGACAATATTTTGAAGAAAAGGGTTGCATTTTGCTGTAACACACAGCTATGTTTTGAAAAACAGTTGCAGGTAATAGCAGATTATCGGTGTATCTTAGAAATTGTGTTTCTAGTGTAACTGTGAGCTAAGAAAAGTAGCTTCATCTGACTGAAAAAGGGGATGGGGCATCGGTGCACTTTACGACGCTGTCACTAACTCTCGTTTTATGTCTTGTTTTCTAATCGTAGGTTTTAGTATAAAGGCAGTGCCCTTCCAGAACGCCGTCTTGAATGTGAAGGAGCTCGGAGGTACAGCATTTCCAGTGTTTCTGTGTCTCCCCTCACTCCCTTCACTCGGTGTTAAGGTGGTCCCTGTGGTTAAAACCTGCTGATTCCTTCTGCTCACAGGTGGCCCTTTTTACCTTTGCTCTTGAGAATGCATTTCCCAGAAACATCTCCTCTCTATGTGTGTCTGCAAGGCTGACAGGGAGGGGGCAGTTGGGGGCGACTGTTATAAACTCTTTCCCTTTGTATGAATTCGAGAACTGTACTGCGAGTGCCATTTCAGAAACTGCGCTCTTTCGTTTTACTTACTAAAAAATGTATTGTTGCCCTAGCTGGTTTGGCTCAGTGGACAGAGCGTTGGTCTGCGGACTGAAGGGTCCTGGGTTCAATTCCAGTCAGGGGCACAAGCCCGGGTTGCGGGCTCCATCCCTAGTAGGGGGCATGCAGGAGGCAGCCGATCAGTGATTCTCTCTCATCATTGATGTTTCTATCTCTCTCTCTCCCACTCCCTTCCTCTCTGAAATCAATAAACATATATATATTTAAAAAAAATGTATTGTTGAGTGAAAACGAGGAGAATGGAACGCCGTGTCATAGGGGAAGGTCGTTTCTCGACGCGGTGGGTTTGTTCCTGTTTGTGGGTGCGGATCCAGGCGTCCTCACATTCCTCCTCGTTTCCCCACGGGATCCTGCAGCCGCAGTGGTGGCGGCAGCTACCTCCCCTCTGATAGCCTCCTGGCTGGCTGTCCGTCCACCCCTCCCGCCCCAGCCCTCCCAGCCCCTCAGCTGGTTGAGGAAGCAGCCGCGTCAGTGTTCCCTGCTGCTGTCGAGCAGAAGGCAAGTTTATGACGACTTCCTTTGCACTGATTCCACTTTCTTCTCTGAAGACACGTCTGCTCGTGTGCAGAGGCAGCGAGGGGCTGTGGCGAGTGCGGGCTGCGCGGTTCCCGGGTTCCCGGCGCTCGGGCCCAGGTGTGGGGCTGAGCGGCTGTTGGGTTGTCAGCTAAGCATCGTGTAGAGGCGCTTCTCCCGCGCCCACGGTTATAGGAAACAGATGTGGACGTGGTTCCTTTGTCTGCCTGGAGGGCCGCTGGCCAGGAAGGTGCTGGGCCCTGGGCCCTGCTCCCACCTTCGGGGCCGCTCACCTGCCAGGTCCTTTGCGCTCGGTTCTCAGTTTCTCCAGGAACTGTTCAGGTGCCCCCGCCACAGGCTCCCCGAGAGGGAGGCTCCCCGAGAGGGAGGCAGCTCTTGGTTCGCACCTGCTGCTTTCACAGTCCCTCCCCCACCCCTCCACACACCCCTGCCCCACCTCCTGCTCCGGCTCAGCGGGATCCCAGGGGTGCAGCTCTCAGAATGTGTCTGCAGGTGAGCTGTTCTAAGGTCCGACCCCCCCCCCCCATCAAATAAACAAGGACAGTCACGATGCATCAGGACCCTCGGACTCATGGACGCCCGGCTGTGCAGCAGCGGCAGAGGGGGTCCAGCCAGTGTGAGCCCGGGGGTGGGCGGGTCCTGAGGAAGAGGCGTGTGGCCGGCAGACGGAGAGGCTACTGTG